AAAAAAAAAAAAAAAAAAAAAAAAAAAAACACATTATAGTAAAACCAATACCTTCTCAGCTTCGCATCGAAGCTAAAAGTCACAAAAAGATAATTGTATCAAAAGTTATAAGCGTTGTAGTTAGGTCTGAGACACACTCTGTATAATCGAATTTAGATAGCAGATATGTATTTTAACTTTAACGTTATTATTTTTGAAAAGGAAGAAGAAAGACAAATAGTTGAAGATAAAAACCTTTGGTCATAGTATTTTTATCGTTTTCCGAAAAATCGTTGGCCTGGATATTTAACGTAATATATATATATAAACATGTATGTGGGCGTAGAGGTAGGAGTGGTAATTTATTGTTTTCACGGCATAGAAAAGAATTCGTGGGCTTTTAGATATCTGATAATGGGTCAACGTAAAAAGGTTTAAATATTAATGCGGTGTGATTCCGTTATTGTCTCAAAGACGTCTAAATTTAGAATACTTTCAAATGATTTATGATTTATCCCTTGTCAATGAAGCAATTGTAATGAAACAGATGAAAGGTTTAGCCTTACAATCGTAATTTGTTGCAGTGATTATAAATTCATGATATTGTTCAAAGTTATTACTACTGCCAAAAATATTATAAATCAATATTAATAAAATATTTTAATATAAAATTACACATGGTCTTTTATTTTTACTGCCTAGTTAGCCTTAGCTGAAAATTAAGGTTGGCATGTGTAAAATAAATTAAAAAATAGTTAATTTTCATAATTTAGCATGCATACTAATTTAAATAAGTTCAAATACGCATGAAAATTTATAAGGTGAATTTTAAACACTATCCAATCGATTTCTCTTAAAATTATTTTTGGTATTTTATACTTTCATATATTTACTTGATTTATCAGTTCTTAATTACTTTTGAAATTCATTATTTATGCTTTGCCAGTTTAATTTGTTATAATGGCAACATTTGAAAAATGATATCTAATTAAGAAAACGATTGGTCGATAACAAATTTTGATCAATCATTACGCAAGATTTTAAAATATTGACTGGATATGAGGCACTAGTATGAAAATGTTTATCATAAGATATTTCTCAGCCATACCTCCTTTCACTTTGCTCTAAAAAATTTAATAAAATTCGAAGTACTATTCCAAAAGTTGTATAAGTCAATCCTTTACTTAATTAGATCATTTTCCTATTTAATGCTAGTTATAAATATAGGTTACCATTTTACAAAATAAAGTTGATATCCTTATATGGTATAATGGGTGAATTTCAAAAGAATATTAATGACTTATAAATCAAGAAATAAGAGAAACCTAAAAAGACAAAAAATAATTTTTTAACTTAATAATTATATAAAAAAAACGGTAGCACAGTGGGGTCACGGCATAGTGGAGACATTGCATAGTTGGATCCAGTATAGATTTAATCTGACAGTGATTAAAATCACTATCATAAGAAACGCTTCGATGCAAATCTGTAGATAGTGTTTAATTTTAAAAAATTGATGGATAATTGCAAAAGCAACATCAACTTCTATTAAAATAAAATACAAAACCCATAATTATCATACAAAAATAGCATATTTTTGAATACGGCAGTCATTTGCGTATAGAAGATAGGTCGTCGGGACAAATTTTTTTTTTTAATTTTGTAGTACATAAAATAAGCTTTAATTTTATATATGTTTAAAGGACGCAGTATTTCCGGAACATTTTCAAAAATTAAGTTGAAAAAGTTATTTTTTGTAAAAAAGTTACTATTTTAAATCCCCCCAGTGAGCAGAATAAGTGTTAGATTTTCAAAAAAAATTATATCAAATGAAAGGGAAATATCTAAGGTTTCAATACAAAAAAATATTATTTTTATTTGTTCATTTTTGAAAAAGTTATGGCAGTTTTAAGTACAAAAAACATCCCGATAAAATGTAATTTTTATCGCAAACATTACATTTTTTTTTAAATTTTCGACAGCCATTTGCACATAGAAGATAAGATGTCGGGACAAATTTTTTTTTTTCATTTGATAGTATATAACATAACCTTTGATTTGATATATGTTTAAAGGACGCAGTATTTCCGGAACATTTTCAAAAGTTCAGTTGAAAAAGATCTATGTTTTTTACAATATTTTAAGTTTTGAACGCCCCCTATATAAGGGGAAATTGTCCAATTTTAATAAAAAGTATGTCAAATGAAAGATGTACTTATAATGTATTTAGAAAAAAAAAATTTGTGCTGATATATACATTTTTCAAAAAGTTATAGCATTTTTAAGTTGAAAATTTAAAATCGAAAATCGAAAATTTTAACACAAAAATAGTGTTTTTTTAACTACGGCAGCCGTTTAAATGTAGAAAAAAAAGTGTCGGGACAAATTTTTTTTTTTCATTTTGTAGTACATAAAATAAGCTTTAATTTGATATATGTTTAAAGGACGCAGTCTTTCCGGAACATTTTCAAAAATTAAGTTGAAAAAATTAATTTTTGTAAAAAAGTTGCCATTTTAAATCCCCCCCAATGAGCAGGTTAAGTGATAGATTTTCAAAAAAATGATATCAAATGAAAGGTAAATATCTAAGGTTTTAGTATAAAAAAAAATTATGTTGATTTGTTGATTTTTCAAAAAGTTATGGAAGTTTTAAGAAAAAAAAGTGAAAAAATTTCGAAAATTAGCGATTTTTAAATTTGTAATTTTTTTGGATATTTCCCCCATTTGCGGGGAACGAGGGAATTTTTTTCAATTTTTAAGGGTAATATCTTCAACTAGATACGATTTGTGATCTTTTGACGTATTTTTGAAAGAAATCGGTCCAGTGAGAGCTGAGAAAAAGTGGCAACAGACATAAAAAAAAAAAAAAACACATCATAGTAAAATTAATACCTTCTCCGCTTCGCATCGAAGCTAAAAAATTCAAACAACTAGTTTTTTAGTATTCATTCTATATAATAGAAAAATTTAGAAATATTTTTGTTTTGCTTAAAAATGAAACACTTCTAACAATTCAATATTAATTGTTAGTAATTAATGAGATATTTTAAATGTATTATAAAAAGACAAAATGACTTTTCAATTTTTAACAGTGAATTTCTTATAGGTATCCATATAATTTTTAGTGCGTTAAGTAGTGGATAGTTTCATACACTTCATTTATCCCAATTTTAATGAATTTATGTCAATGGGGTCATTAAGTTTTGATCGATGTAAATACAACTTTGAATTTTTGTAATCAATTTAAATTTACACACTTTGTAAATAGTGTTGATAAATTTCATCTAGTTGTACTAGGTAAATTTGCATAAAACTCAAATGGCATTTATTTTTCATATAGCTTGTATAAGTATGATAAATTATTCTTATATTTTGCTAAATTTTACACACTTGTTATAAAATTAACCAAAAAAACAATAATTTAATTATTATATCACTTCAATATATTATTTCATGAATTATAAATTATCTTAATCATTGTTTTATTAAAGAAAACATTTATAAATTTTTCCTTAACTATGCACATATTACTTGTTAAAAATTATCATTGTAATAGAAATACGGACTTGTTAAGGAAAAATATTATTAGTCAAATTTAATGTACGACTGAAAAATATTTTAAGTTCTGATAATATTCAAATTTTCTTCGATTAAATACTTAGTGATGTAAAATATTGACAAATGTTTATATCTAGTTCTTTTGAACATATATCACATATATAATTAGCGTAATTAATGCCTATAAGTTCATGTTTTGTCTCAAATGTTTTTTCTGATTTCATTGACGGTCGGGCAACTATGATACGAATCATCCATTTATTTTTTATTATATTTTATTTGCCCACATTATATATATATATTTTATTACTAATGCATCAAAAGTAGTTATTTTTGTAAAATATTTAATAGAGTATTGCAAACCAATAATATATGATAAAGCTTTCAACATACCGTGAAATATTGGAATTATATTTTGTATATACTTTTTAACAAGATCATCACACGTGAAAACTGTACGACTATTTTTTATTTGATATTTTCAAACAAGTTCCAGTCAAGAGAATAGCAAAAATTTTTGAAAATAATGTAAGAAAATAATTCTTACTATATAAGAATACTCACTTTGAAGTAGATATTTGTTTAATATTTCTTATTGAGCTGTTAAAATTATCTAAATTATCATTAGGTAAAATAGCATAACCGTTAAAATCATAACCATTAATTAATTGACTATCCAGCAATTTTACTAAAATTTCAAAATTAGCTATCTTTTATGAAAAAAAAATTATTGATAATATCTACAAGATCTTCTAATTTTTCTGAATCACTAATGGAAAATGAGTAGTTTATATTATTATTACTAATAAAAGCATTGCAAATTAAAATATAAACATTTTGAGAAATTATGTACAATATTAACTAATATTATTAATTTTATACCTCTTATAGAGCAATTATTGAAAAATAAAATAAAATTATTCAAAAAAAAAAAATACTATTAAAATATTTTTTGTCTATTTAGATCACATAGATTAGAAAATATCAAATATATTTTGATAGTTGAAACTTGTAAATGCATGCTATAAATAATAACTAATGATTTATTAGTTATTCTTTAATTTAAATAAATTTTGAAAATAAACATTAAACAACACTGATGATAACTATTTCAAATTATCAAATAAGCAAATATCAAATGTTTTTTTTAATAAAAATTATAAATATTTTAAATTAATAAATAAATATAAAGTTTAATTATAGTAATACGTATAATTTTATTAACATAGTATAATTGAGTCTTATTTTATTTAAAAATTTATTGGTGATATATTAAAATTTGTGTTGTGAAAAGTTTTAATTAGGTAACCTTCCTCTAATTAGTACCAACAAACAAATTCCAACTTGTTTACTTGTATCAAAATATACTGAATCAGTTAGTTAAAAACTATATTTACGTATACAGTACTTTCAAAAGTATAATAGTATTTTATACAAACATTGGAAATTAAAATGATTGAAGAGCTTAATGTTAAAATATGATAACTATTATGAAACACCTGTTATTATTATTATTATTATTATCGTAAATTATAATTGCTCCATTTTTCCATCAAATAATTTAAGATCTTCATATTTCCCGTATGGTTAATTTATAATTGTTTAGTTTTTAAATAAATGTATTTGTTATTTTTTTTATAATTAAGAACCGTCAAAATTGAAGCCTTTTCATATTTTCATAAACCCCTTGTAATAACTACAAGGAGAGATAATTATAATATAAATATCTCCCCATTTACTTATCATCATATTATGATGATTAAATTATTTTATTATCTAAATTCTAAAAAAAATAAAATATTGTTCTACCAATTCAAAGACAAAAATTAAATGTAATTAATGCGCGAAACAGTAGGACGTATAGTTTTTACGACCCCCAAAAAAATAGTTAATTTTTTACTTAATTTGTTTACTGAAAGTATACTAAAAATAAACTTAACAAAAGAGGTGAGATGAATGTAGGTTCACTAGGAAATCATTTAAGTGTTCGACCAAATACTTAATTTAAAGAGAACTTTTGACGTTTAGAATTGAAAAGCTTTTGTGTATTATCTTTTTGAATAATTAAATAAGAAAACGGCTTAATAAAAGTTTAAAACAACAAAACGAAAGTATTCATAAGTTAGCTTTATCATATCATTGCCCAAAAACTTTAAATTGAAACTAACACTTATCAATTATTTTCAATAAGTGTTTTAAATTTACTCCGTTCTCAGGGACGCCCTCAGAAACATATTCCAGGATGAAAAAATAACTAACAACAATTTAAACTATTGGAACAATCCCCAAAACTTTAGGGGCGTATTTATGTGTGGATAGAGAAGTACAAGCCCATCCTCCCAAAAATTATGGAGTAACTAAATTTTGTGCTGAAAAAACTTTAAAAAAAATTATGATCAAAAATTAAGTAAAAAATATAAGTATTATACAATTCTAATTGAGTTTAAAAAAATGCCCTCTTCTGAAAAAATTAATTAATATGCACCTTTCTTCCCTTATTTACGTCTTATATTAATAAATATAATAATTACATAGAACATTATCGACTTTATTAATAATATAATTATTATTAATCCTTTGGAATAAGTTTATAAATAAACCGTCATATATTTTAATTCCCTTATAATTAAAATGTACAAAGCCGACTTGTCTCCCCTAAATAACGAATCCGATTTTAAAAATCTGTAGGTAATTGTTGTGGCAGAAATTATTTTATATTAACAAAAATTTGAATGGATATTAACAGATTTTCTTGCTACTATTGTATGTTTTTATTAATCATTGCAGAAAAAAATTTAGGGGGTGTATCGGTACTTCCTGCCATGACAAGACGTCTTGTTCCTCACCCCTATTAATATATATTAATAGTAATTAATTCGCAGCGTCACAATTTCTGTTTTTATACAAATTATGTTAATAATAATAATATTTTATCACTTTAGGTAAAAAAACTTTTAATGTTCAAAATAGTGACATTATTAATTGCATAAATTACATTACTTTATGCTCTAATAAATATCTTTCTTTCTTGATTCTTATTGAAGCAAAGTTCTAAAAATTCAAAAAAGTTTTATAGAACACTCACCCATCGATTAAAGGAACTTCTTTGAGTATCCGACGGATAACTTCTAATGTTTCTTCTTGGTGAGAAGTAAGAACACCCGGTACTTCCGAAGAATTAGGCATTGCAATCCAAACAAGTAAGATTACTACTCCCACTATTACAAACAAAATACCTGCACATGGTCGAACTTGTATTTCATACACAGCTGTAATTTAAAACAAATATTATTGTTAAATTATTTATTGAATTTAAATGGTAAAATATCTTAAAGTAATTAATCATAAAAAAAAATTTAACCATTACATTATTTAAAGACAATATTTAAGAATGGATACACAATTCAAAACTTTCCTTATCTAGATTTATAATAATTGTAGACAATAATCAGTTAAGTAGAATTTTTTAATCTTAAATTTTAATTTCAAAATATCATCTGAAAAAATATTGATTTTAAAATTACAGTTTTTATGGTGTGTATCTGACATTTTGTCTCATAGATTCTATTTAAAAAACATAACTAAGAGATACAAAAATATTATAAATTTTCTTAATTATAGCAAATTTTTTAAATCAGTTTTCCAATAGAAATTAATTATCTGTTATGTTGTATATTATATAAATATACAGAATGTCTCAAATTTCACTGACAACGCTTATAACTTTTAATCTAATTTTCTAAAAATATGATAATTAGATCAAAATTATAACGTAATATTACGTTGAAAATAGTTTAAAAATTATCATTACTTTCATAGATTACGTTTAAAGCATATTTTTATTATTTATCTCTAGTGAGAAAAATAATAGAATTTCAAGTTTTATTTTATTTTTTTCAAATTTTAAAATAGTTATTTTTTAGTTCTTTTCTTATAAAAAGATTTGATGATAAATGATAATTTTAGGATAAGAACTTATCAATTTACAAGAATTTTAATTCATGTAACTCGAATAAATGCAGCCCGTACTGATATACGTATATTTTTAATTTGTCTATAAACAGATGTATATACAGAATGACTCCCAAACTACGTCTAACGAATGTCTTAAAAAATATTTGAGATAATTATATTTTATTTTTTAACACTAATGGTCATATGCTGCTCTACTCGGAAACTTAATTTTCTGCTACCATTCTTCCCGAGTAACCAAAATAAAAGTGTTGGGATAGTTGAATTGATCAAAAGGTGCATAGGAAGTGAAATCTTAATTTTTGAATCAGTATTAAACTTTTGTTGGTGCTAGATCAGTTTTATAGACCGAACTGAGTGTAGAAGTCCAATATTCCACCTTAAAATGTGTTGATTTATTCGATTTATCCAACGTGTATTCAATAATTTTGATGAACTAATTTAAAACCACGCAAAAATTTAGTTTGGTATTTAAAAATTAATTAAACATTGCGAACCTGTTTATGTGTTTGTATCACGTATTGTATTTTAATTTAGTTTTTAACGTTAAATTTTAGCTAAAATCGTAAACACAATTTAAGTACTGATATTTAATAATACTATTTTAATAGAAATAGAAATTTTAAATTAAAATTTATCTGAACTTATCTGTAATAAGTAGTAGGATTTGATAAAAATAATAAAAAAACGACCATGTGTTTATATTTAACACCATATTGCAAATCATTTTTTAAAATGATTCAAACAATGAAAATGTACAGAATGCGCTTGTCAAATCAAGTCGGAATGTAGACCTTCTTGATTTTTTGAAATTTTATGGAGTTAAATTATTAGTAACTATTTTAACAATATGTATAACTAAAACTGCATTAATCAAAATATTAGAAATAAAATGATTAACGGTATTATTAATCAGAATAAATTTATGATTTGTAAATTATCAAATAGATATTAACTAATTATTATTATTTATATAATGTACTGAATTATCCATAACATTAAAATAATTATTTATTTTTCATTCTCTGTGGATCTTTAAATGTGTTGTCAAATAATACATGATATGATTTTATTTAATAATGCCTAAGTTAAGCTTGAATTAGGCCTCACTAGACCTCATACAAACTGGGCCTCATTATCCGCACCTACTTTGTTATTTTATATTGGAAGTTTTATGTTAATCATTTTTATGTTTACACAAAAATGAGTCTTTAAGTTTATAACAATGAATTATAATGTTAAACTAATTTCTTACTTCTTTTTCTGCTTCTATCAGAATTTATTGAACCATTAGGGGATTCGTATTCTCGTCTGTTGTGTATTTGTCCGTTACACAAACTATCACGTCTGATATTTGCAGAAGAAGATGGCCTCGATGTCTGTTGCATGTCGCTATATTCGGTCTAAAACAATATTAAAAACAATGATCTTGATATCTGATTTAAATTTAACGATACCTATAATGCAATATGAATACATATTCATACGTCTTTAATATCAAACGAATATCCAACAAGAATTTACAGGGAAAAAGTGCTAATAGAAAATAAAACAAGATTTTGCAATTTTCATAAAAATATTCATTAAATTTAACACACTAATAGTTGATCTACAGAGATCAGGTGGCCTCTCTTGATAGATACCATATAAAGATTTAAATAAATTTAAAGCACACATAATTGCTTTTTAAGCTTAACTGTAAATATTTAAAAGTATTCATTCGATACTTATTACAATATTCAACTTATTATAAAGTTTTAACTGAATTTAAAAAAATGAGCAGTTCATTAATAAATCATGAACAGATTCATCATGCCATAATTTTAATATTTAATAATACGCATTTACGAAGGTTTTAATTAAGTTGAAAGAATTTATTCGCTATGTACTTTTTAAGTATTTTACTAATCTTGTCCTATTTTGCATTTTTTAAATTCATGTATACCTCAGCATTTAAAAAGTGTTTTCTCTTAATTTAATATTTCATTAGAGGAAAAGTTTCTCATAAAGGTTTAATTAGAATGGTTTCAACAAATCAATAAGTTAAATTATAAAAATAAATATTGCAAAAGTTGTAATGTACTAATGTTATCTTCAATATAATGTAACTCAAATACTACCGTAGACGTGCGTACAAGAGCAGGAAAAATTATTTTTGCTATCCCTTAAAATTAGTTATATTAAATTAGGACAGTTAAATTTGGTACTCAATAGAGTAAACGTAAATTTATTTAGGAATTTAAGAAATATTGTATCGTAAATTTAAAAAATCTTCGGTATTGATTTTGACCAAAAATACTGCGCAGAAAATGATATTTGTATCATAAGTTAATTGTTCCATACCTTATGGGTACCATAATTTCTAATCGATAACTATCGTAGTTTCTTATATAAAATTTCAATTATAAGTTTTTGGTGAGTTTTACAGAAAAATGCCTTGATGTAGATTATAAATTTCTCATAAAATATGAGTCGTTTATATATATATGATCCTTATTTCCAATCTATAAGTAGGATAATGGGTCGGTACAAATTTTCGTTGTTCCGACCGAAATCTCTAGGCACACCTATAAACATTGCACAGTACACTTGTAAAATATTATGATTTTCAAGTATTGTACAACCTATTCTGTGCTCTAAGCTAAATAACCGATATACTATGTAAACTTTAACAAGGCAATGGACAACTTATCTATCAACATAAAATTGTGCGTATAGAAAATAATATTGTCTATTATTATATTATAATAACGAGACATAGTGTTTTTATGTACTGTGCACTAGATAAACTTTTTATATGTTAAAATAACATATCGTATACTTCTAGTTGTAGAACAAAAAAATTATCATAAAATTGTGTTTCTTGATTTAATGAAAAACAAAATAACTTTTCGTGAAAGAATAAATTGTAAATTTTAGTTCTAGCTCAGTTGTTTTTTACTGAACTCGTTCTTATAAAAGTACATCTTTTCAAGCGTTATATCAATAGAGTAACTATATGAATACTAATAGAACTTATTTATTCGATGAAATCAAGTACAGAAATAAGTGCAGATATTATGTAAATTCAATTTAAAGAACAAATGATAATTAAAATATAGTTATTTTTATAAACATTGTCATTATCATTAATGCCAAAGAACATTATTTACACTTTTTGCTTAAATTAATTGTAAATTATATAGAAATTTATATGAAATTAAAATTGATTTACTTTTCGGAATTAGTATACTATAACAAAGTTGTTTAGTATTGAATTTAATTGCAACATTTTAGGAAGAAAAAAGGAAATAATTTTTTCCTAAATAGATTATATCATCATTACCTTATTATTAGCTGGTTAAGTGGAGTAAATTAATGTTAAATAATAAATACCCAAATACAAAAAAAATGATTAGTAGATTATTAAATATTATAGTAGAATATTATATTTATATGGTATTGATTTAGATAAAAGTACATACCTTTTTTGTATTATGTGATCAAAATTGTACAAATATTTTAATAATTTATTTATAATAAGAATAAAGAGACTTTATTTTGTTAGAGTATCTTATTTTCATTAATGGTATTGTATAAAATACTCGCAGGAAAACCATTTTTTGATTTTTATTTAAAAGAAGACACTATAATTTTTTTTTTCAACTAAAAATTACATAAAAAAATATACTATTCTCTTTTTAATTGGTTAAAAGTTCAGATATATTGTAATGTATTTTTGTTTATGCGTGCTGAATACCATGAAATAATTTGTTTAAACTTTTAAGCTGTACTATTCAAAAGACAAAAAACCTTTTAAACTAAAATTAAACGGTCGATATAAAAACTTAATAAAAAAATACCACGATGATTTTAATAAACGTTAAACATATTTCTAAGCACTATCTATCACTTCTCTTTATTCTGGAGATACAAACATATATATTCAGAATGATCAGTTTATCATAAACCACTCAATAATATACAAAATAAATATAATATTGGAATACGAATGTTTAATTTGCTTTTGGTTACATATATTTCTTGATTTATCAAATAATAATGACTTAGTGGTATCAATTTCAATTTCTAAAGTTATTCTCACTTTTTTATCCAAACGAGACGAAGAGTACGACCGGAAAATTACTAGTGATAAAAATAGCAGCACCCTCTCCTGACCTACAGTTATTACTTTAAATTGTAAATAATTATTAAAATACTGGTTCTAAAGTTGTATTTCATTTTTATATTTTTAAGTTAGTTAAATATGTAAGTTGCCATTAAATAAAATGAAGTCATAAGGGATTTTCAATATTGTATTAGTTTTGAAAGTTATCAAATGTTTATTCTGTATATATTTTTAAACAAAACCGTAAAAAATGTAAACATGATTTAAGCTAATAAATATAAATATATATCTAATATAAATAGTTTTTATTGATATTAACAAACAAATTTATTTGATTTTTTTATTAAAAAATAATAACTAATGAAAATTTGTAGGTGTTTTATGTTGACTACTGCTTTTAGCAATTATTACTTTTTTTTTTACAAAAAAAAAATCTAATTTAAATTACAAGTGGAATTATGAAAGAAAGTTACCCATTGATAATACCTCTATAAGCAAAGTTGATTTATGTAAGAAAATTAATTTTTTTTAGTACACTGATTAGTAAATAAAACTCTTTTGCAGTTACGTTTTAGTCTGCTTGGAGGCTTTTCTGAAAACAACTTTTAGCGAATTAGCCCTTAGCCCCTTAATGATTTACGCCTATGTTAGTTGTGAACATATATTTTTTCAAGAAGTCCAAATTTAAGTTAAGTTTTGTTTAAAATCTAAAATATTGTAATTTTGCAAGTTCGTTAACAATTTCTATTTTTAAGTCATTGTGTTAATTATTCAATAATTACTTACAAATAATATATATTAATTATGTTTAGTATAAATTTTAGAAGACGTTAATTTTCATGTTAAATTATGAGGTCTTGCAATTATAAAATAGAGGAATTTATGAAATGTAAATGTCCGTAAAATATTTTGGATGTTTGTATAATTTATTTAAACATTTACTCATATGAACTTACGGTATGTATCCGTTAATTGTTCGTTGTTTAAATTTAGTACTGAATGAGTATACATAACAATTTTATTTATTCCAGTCCAAAATGTAGTTAAATAGTTTTAATTCAGTAACTAAATAATTTTTATAATATAAAAATTATTTTAGTAGCTTCTTAATGTCTCTGGATAGTAAACAGGTTAGTAAAAAGTATTGTAAACGCATTGATACTCTATGTATCAGTTTATTAACTTAATTTAGCTAACGTAAAAATTATTTTTAATTTCAAAGGTTGACATTTTTGATATAACAAGTTTTATGTAATATAGACCAAGTTAATACCATTTTTTTTTTTTTAATAAAATACTTTTAAAAAAATGACAGTATTTGGTGACATTAAATAGAAAATATTTATTAAAAACGTAACACGTCTATTTTCAATAAACAAGTTTTATTACATTATAAATCAAAGAAAAAAAAATGTCACTCAAAGTTTAGTAAATATTTCAGCACTACTAAATTAGTATTCATCATACATAAATTTAGTTGACGTAAATTGTCAGCTTCTTCGTCTAAGTTTCAATATTTTTCATTGAAAAATTTTAATTAAATACTTGTTCTTATCATTTCAGTAAAATGTTCTGAACACGTTATGTGTTTGTAATATTAATATGATAGACAAACTAATAAATTATTGCATGTAACATTGAAAAATCAAGTCACATTTTTACTAATAATACTAATCTATATCCTACAACTACATATGTATTCTATGGAATTAAAAAACTCGAATTATGAAGGTTAAACATTTTCAATGATAAATCTTTTTTAGCATTACAAAGAGATATTATCAAATTTTGGGAACGTTTAGTCAAATGAATTGATTAAATAGAATAAGTATATATTGAAAAACCTCCTTTCGTACATAAATATTGCAAAAAGAATTTATTTCAGAGAGTGGAAATGCACCAAATTGAATGTAACTTAATTTCATATATTTACATGTAAATTTACAAGTTTATTATTGTACTGAATGTGATAAAAAAAAAAAAAACAGCTGAATCTATCAAACCCACCGCCATATATGTCTAGCAGTTCCTTATTGTGTCTATATATCGATGATCATCCCGGTTAACCTCTCCTTTTAATGTATGTTTATCCTTAATATAAACAACTTCCGCTATTTACTCTTATATTAAATTTTTATTGCTATTTACTTAACAATATTTTATCCGATCTGTTAAAATAATATTTACGTTATTTGATAATTGGTCTTGTTTTTTAAGCAACTGTTGGCACGGGCACTATCTAGCGTCATCTTCCATGATCATCTTTATTCTTTCGCTAAATATTGGTCGCGGCGT